ACATGAATTTATAAGAAATACACAGACTGAATGTTTGAGTTTGAATAAATACACTTCAGCAGAGTACAACTGTTCAAAAGATATTTGAGTCTTTTCTGAGAATGCAGTTGTCTTACATTTGCAGTACTGTAAGTGGTTACAGTAAGGTATTTCTTTGGCTACAATAAGATGGGGGACCAGTCCTGGAAATGAATATGGAAAGAAGACGATGAGCCTCACTGCTCATAACACTCACTGAACTTTATCCTTCATGTGCGTACACCAGTATCCAACAAACTTCTCTAATCAAGTACTTATGTGGGGTATGTGGCCGTGCCAAATGCAGACTGATGCAATTAGTTAGGCTACACAATTTTTCAATACTTCAAAAATTGACACAAATGCTCCAAAAATCAATCCAAACGCTCAGGGGGGAAGACAAATCCTCAATAGCATAAAGAAAGTAAATGAAGCATTTCTGAATCAAAAAATCAAGATTCCACAAAATCAGTGCAGACCACAACATCCCTCTGATTGGATGAGGAGACAGGAAAGTCCGATATAACCCAAATGGCTCGAGTTTTAGGGTGCAAAGACTAATGAGACTGTGATTATCCTGGTGTTCAAAGTCAGTCGTCCTAGTCTGAAATGTAAAAACTGTAAAAGTGGTGCTGCCTGATCCAAAGAGCTGCTAAGATCATTCACATCATCACACATGAATGCAAATGGGCTTTATGGAGCCACAGGAGTCTCAGGTTTCCCTGCTGTGTTTTATCTATGAAAAGTCTAGTGCTATAAAATATAGATCTCAGGGGTATTTTGGTATTTCTCACAGGTTTGTCCAGCAATTCAAAAAAAGGAACCTTAAATACATGCTCTGTTGTCTGACAGCACTTAGGATTAACATTAGTATTTATCATTTGCAGAAGTATTAATATTGCCTTTTTGTTTTAAACTGATGGATTTGTGCTGCAACATGTCCAAGTGAGACTACTCCTCATATTTCTCAGGCTGACTTTTTATTAAAAAAAAAGAAAAAAAAAAAAAGAAAACAGAAAATCATCTGCGGAGAAGAGATTGGTGCAAAACGATGGCAAGAAAACAGTCAGTGGATTTAAGTCACTTTAATTCATTAAACTGACATCACTTTTATTTTCATTTGATGATTTGATCATTGTATGTCCAGGCCCTAATCTGTGAACATGGTAGAGTGGGACCTGACAAACATTACAGCTGCAGAGCACTAATACATGGGAGCCAGGCTGCAGGGGAGCCTGAGCCTTTAGCCAGAAGTTCAACATAGCTACCATTGTTGCTTTTAAAGTGTTATGGGTTGGGTTTTATTACTTCTGTCAAAACATCAGAAGCTGTTGAGCCAGGCCAAGTTCATGAGTTGGAGTCCATCTACTAACACAAAGATCAATAGGATATCTGGCAATTAGTATATATAGGCCAGAAAGAAAGAGACACACACACACAGGGAGAGGTGTATATGAGAGGAAAAGTGTGTGAACCCTTTAGTGTAAGGGTTAGCAGAGGGAGGGGACCCGTTTGTGTAAAAACAGCAAAACCTGAAATAAGATTTATTTCATTGACCCACATGGATACAGAGGCCACAGTTAAGAAAAAAGGTGGTTTAAATAATCAATAACGATGGAGTCCAGGTAAGAACCAGAGGATATCCACCACTCCTTCGTTTCTCAGTGGGTTTTGCTTTTAGTGTTTCTAGACTTTTTTAAAAATTATTTCTCAGACGGTTGTTAGCGGTTTGGAGGGTGCAGTGGAGCACGAGAGCTGCGTGTCTGTCAGCCTGAGTGTCAGTGGTCTCACCTGTGTCCGAGGAAATGAAAAGGGGGAAAAATTTAACTCACTTAGGAATAAGATTTTAATGATCTAAACGGAACTCAGCTACAAATGTTCTTCGATTCATAAAAATATTAAAAATGAATCGGATATCTGGAGCGCACAGAAATTACGTACAGATGTACAGGAGCCTGTAAGGACTATATGTGAGATGATGCTGAGTCGATGTCTGCCAAAAGGCTTGTGATTGTCACTCTGGTTGTTGGTTCTTTGCTGGATTGTGTGCATCGATATTTTTGGCTTTATAATAACAAAAGGCCAAGTTAGAAATCAGAGACGATATCTACAATCAAATGGGATGTAAGAATTAAAACATGCACACATTTAAAAATCTGGGAAATTATCAGGCTGCTCTATGAAAAACGACTTATCACTAAAAATCGTAGGGAATAGAAAAAAATATGAGATCAAATTAAACATGATCAAAATGTGAAAATTTGACCTGTAAGTAAACTCTTCAGAAACACACAATAAACCTGCTGGTGATGTGCACAGAGCAGAAAAAGAGAAGTGTACTTAAAAAAAAAAACACCTGTTTGAGTGATAGATTGAAATCCAAATACACCAACAGTGACTGTACCCTAGACCCAAATCAGTATGTAAACAAACCAGAACGACTACACGCTCATCAATGCGATCCCTCTTAAAGCACACACACATGAACAAAGTCATATAGTGCATGTGAGACTCTGGAGCCATGGCTTTAAACCTGGAGTCTGCGTGTGCAATCTGCCGTGAGAAGAAAATACACACGAGGTTTAAAAATAAATGATAAAGCAGCTGCTGAATGTTGCTGCAGGCCCGCTGCATTCAGCTACAGGAGCGCTTCACCTAAGCACCAGAACAAGGGGGAAAAATCAGACAGGAATATTCTCCCACGCGCCGTATTCAAAAATTGTGGGCCTGCATGTTTTGAATGGTCAGAAGAACATGATATTTCCCTGCCTGCTCTGTTTCTCTCTGCTGCCGCTGCAACCCAGCTCATGAGAGGCCTGTGTGCTGCAGAGGCTCCTCTGCTCCGATGTGAGAGTGCTACAAAGCCAGGTATTTGTGTTCATTAGCACCCGGATCAACAGACTATCAAGGCTGTTTAGAGATCAAGACCAAGTGCAATTACAGGCAACAAGCACGATCCTCGACATGTTTAAGTATTTTTACTGAGAGGCCCCAATTAGAGTTTTGCCTTTCAGTTCGTCCCTTTTTTTCCCCTCTTTTCTTTTTTTGTCGTTAAGTTTTGCAGAGACTTACACCAAGTGCAGGAAAAAATGAGGAAGTATAGACAAAAAAATAAATAAATGTAAAGATCGAGTTGTGCGTATTTGTTTTTATTTTTATGTCGTCGTGTTTTGGTAGGGCAGTCCTTTCTGAGCTTGTTAAATTAATGTGTAGAATTTTCAAATGCTCTGGAAGAAGTTTTAAATCCAGACATTTCAGGTTGCACATAATCATTAATTTTGATTGCGGTGTGAAATGTAAATATCAAAAGGCCTGTGTCTTTTTTTAAAGGCTGAAATGTGTTTCCTATAAATATCCAGCAGCTACACGTTGAAATAAGGCCAACAGCTCTGGCAAAGTTACAAACCATTAAAAGGCCTGTAAACATGCACTCACTCATACTAAACATAAAACACGAACAGGTATATTTTAAATGTATTCTTGTTTTTTTTTCATAAACATGTCTTTTAAAATTGAAAGAGTTAAATGCGTGTTTTGGCTCTGCGTTTTCACCAAAGTTGCTCATAAACCGAAAGTCATTGTGGATAAATTATCGTCTGGGAAACATTTAAAAACAAAACAACACCAGGAGCTCAAAAGGCCTTCATAAATCCTCATCTTGTTAAGCAAATGTCTCTTAAATTAAGAGTGTATAAAAAGCAGATTGACCCACATAATTAGCCGTAGAAAACACATGCACTCATGCAGGAATTTTCTAAAGGACATGGTGTAAGCAGACGCTTCTCGCGAATCAACCCGCCAAAAATAAACAAATGTCAACAAAACAACAAACACGGTCCACTTTCAACAACAAGGTGCTCATGTTCAAAAAAATTAAACATGATTTTTTTTTGTCCGTGTGACGCGAGCAGCACTTCACTTAGTGGTAGTAAAGGGCGCTTTCTTGCACAGGACGCATTATTGATTGGCATTCCCTGGAGGAGGAACCAGCATGCAGCAGTCCACGGGACCCGAGACCATTATAAGTTACAAGAAAGCGAGAGATTCTGCGGTTCAAGCAGGAGTGAATAAAAAAATGAATAAAGTATTGCACTTCTGACTGATTTCACTTCTTGGCGACTCTGTTTCTCAGCGAGGGGAAGACTGCGCTGAGCTCGGTGTGCTTGCAGCAGCTCGCAGCAGAGCAGTGCCACAGCGCCCACTATTTCAAAAGCCGGGAATATGATTTCACAAGACTGTGTACGGCTCCATAAAAAAGTTACTGTCCTTTTCGACAACTTTCTGTGTAACTTTCGGGAAACGAATACGCGCTTCCACTTTAGCAGCGACATCCAAAAAGCAAAAATACAAGCTGTGAAGCTCAGTGTTTACGTCTGGATCTGACACAGCTAAAGCATCAGCGGCGTTTCTCATCACACATGAAACTTTGTGGCACCGGGAACAACCGAAGCCAAGATCGCAGCATGCAGGGAAAGAAGAGCGCGTGAAGCCGGAGCAAGCACGTTTTCATCAGAAAAGTTTACTCTGGACAAAGAGAAACCCCCTCGCTTCAGGATATGACAAATGACAAGGACACACTGGACATGTTCACACGCAGGAGTTTGGAGCCGGCGGCGGAAAGCGCTAAGAAGAGGGGAAAAGAAGACCTACTTTTTGCCAGTTTTCTCGCCCTCGCCTTGGATCTCATCTTGTCGGCTTGTAGATTCCTCTCGTCGTCCTCCGTGAGCCCAGAAGCTGCAACAACACTATCTTCATCTCACCAGCATTGTCAGTTTGGACACCTTCGCACATGCGCACAGGCCATTCAATCTGACACCCTCGCCGTGGCCAAAAAACTTTCCAATGTATTCATCATCATCACTTTTTTGTCCTATCGTCTCCCCTTTAGATCACTTATCTCTTCCCCTCCTCCTCCTCTTCCTCCTCCTCCTGCTCTCCCCTCAGCGGTTCACCTACACCCCCCCCCCCCCCCCCTCCCCTTCGCTACCCCCACTCTCTCCCCCCTCCTCACCCCGACAATCCCCCCACCATCCAGCCCATTCAGCTCCTGCCAGCACCCTCTTGGATTTTTACCCCTTTAACTGCGACAACTTGGTTTTCTCGGAGCGGCGGTGGACACCGGGAGGTACGGTGAGGTCAAGGTCGTGTTGAGAAAATACTCCTTCATTTTATTTATTTTTTCCTCTGCTTTAAGAGATTATATTGCAATTCTGTGTTAGTCCTGTGCAACTTTTCACATGTCAGGGAATGTGTAAAGATGAATTTTCCTCGTGTTTAGCAGTTCTTTAGACTTTGAAAGTTTGTGCTTGGGCTTTTGACGCAGAGGTTATTTATAACTTCATTAATGCAAATGTAGGCGTAAATAGGTGTGAAACCCAATTGGAGTTGCACTTTACGGGCTATGATTTTAGTTGTGTGTGTGTGTGTGTGTGTGTGTGTGTGTGTGTGTGTGTGTGTGTGTGTGTGTGTGTGTGTGTGTGTGTGTATGTGTGTGTGTAAACCGTGTTGCCCTCAGGACAAGCAGCGGCCAGCAGCTGTTTGACGCATGCACGGAGCCTCCACCAGCAGAGCACAAGTCCAGGTTTTTTTTTTCTCCTTTCTCCCACCAGTGTTCACTTTTGTAACAATCTTATTTGCAGCAGTTATTTCTGGGAGCAGTGTTTATGTTCGCTGTAGGAGCTGCTGTGGCCGCGTGAAGCTGAGCGCACACTACCTGAAGGAAAGGTGCACGAGCCGCAGACTTTCTTTTGTAGGTATGACTTTTATGCACCTGTTTGTTTGTTTGTTTGCTGCAGGCGAGGGGATGCGCTAGCCGTGCGCCCAGATTATGATACGGGCTGAAGATTAACAGGTATTTTTTAAACGATTTTTATTTGACTCATGTTGATTCATTGACTGATTTATTTAAATTATTTTATTGAATTTTATTGTATTTAATTCAGAAATACGGAGAAGTAAATGACGATACATAAAAGCGGTTTGTTATAGCAACGACGCAGCTTAGGAAAATATCAGTGTATTAATGAGGCCAATGGGTCACATATAAATATGAAGGTTTAATTGATATGAAAGCATTTTTGTAAACATTATTATTATTATTATTATTATTATTATTATTATTATTATTAATAATAATAATAATAATAATAATAATAATAATAATAATAATAATAATAATAATTCTAATGTTTATTATCATTATTATGACGCCTACCTTTTTTGTAAGAATAAGAGAAGGTATGGTTCTGGGGGTATTTATTTGTATTGATGATATTTTATTAATTATCAAATTGATACAGAACACTTTGACTGATTGTGTTTGGCTGCTCCTCATACTCTTGTGGTGTCTGGGCCTGTAGCCTGCATGTCATATGGGAATGGTTTCCGTCGAGTTTGGCTGAATAAAGGCGGCTTTATGTTGGAGCCTATTAAAGATCCGTGTTGATGGAGCAACTGCAGTCTGCTGGGAGATCAATTCTCTGAACACTTACTGGACAGGAAACACTCAATTACGTAAAAAAAATATTATTGTTATTATTATTATTATAATTATTATTATTATTATTATTATTATTATTATTATTATTATTATTATTTCTACCTTTGTTATTTTTCTCTGGTACAATGACTGCATAAATTTTGTTTTTTATTGTTTTTGTGTTTTGTTCGCTTTTCTTTATGGTTAACCTGCAGCTTGTAGCTCATTGTAGTGCACGTGCAATAACAATTGATTTAAATAAAGGCTCATCAAACACGTCTCAGGCCTATATTGGACACAATTTGCCGTGGGATGTTTTCCCCTGAGTTGGAGTGAAATGAATCATTAATCAATAATAATCAGCAGTAATTAGCATACATTATTTGTATATTAGGTAGTTTGTCTTGGCATCGTGACGCTGGTAGACTAATTTTATTGGCTTAACAGAACGCAGGGAAGCGTGTTAAGTGCGCTTTCATACCCAAAGGGAGCTTGAAGTGTCAGGAGGTAGCCACTGTGTTCCGGACCTTTTACATTTACTTTGTAAACTTGTGTTGAAATGGTCAAAGTTTATTTATGCACACACAGAATCAACAGTTACATCTCACTATGGCAGCGCAGGGGTAAAAGTGGCAGAGAAGGAGAGGCAAGTCGATTAAAAAAAATGATGTGAATAACAGTAATGGACAAAGGTTTTGTTTATTCCCTAGTGTCTAAAGGGAGCGTGGGAGCATGACGACAAGCTGTCAATAATCCATCGCCTGTATTGATCGGCGTTATCGATACTGTGTCCTTTATCCAGACTCATTGAGAGGAAAACTGAAACGAAGTAGTCAGCAGAAGTTTCCTCACTTGTGCAAATAATTTCCATCAGCCACCCGTGACAGTTGGGGCCAGACCTCAAAATATTTCTGCACATCGGGTTGGACAAATGATTTCACATGGCGCAACACCTTTTTAAAGCAGCAATTAACTGCGATTACGCGCGCAAAAAGAAGTGTTGCTCTCCGAAACGGGCCCGTTGGGAAATACTTTTCTGCGTCATTTCAACGTCGACCTTTAACAGGTTTGTGGCAACGCTGAACGGCTGCGCAGGCGAGTCTCGCGCTCTGAAGAAGGGGGACTTGATTCCCTCATTGTGGATTTTTTTTCCCCCTCCTTTGTCCCGCGGCTGGAGGGAGCGCGTGAGGAAGCAGCACAGGCTCCTTCTCCGGAAGAGAGGTGCGCTGCTGCGCTCGTGCTCAATTATCCACACTCAGTTTTATTAAACCGCCTAATTAGACTGAGGGGGATAGAGGGAAATCAGCTGAAGTAACAACAAACAAACAAATAAACAAATAAAAACGAAACAGTGGCAGGACGTTGGGGAAATTATTATTTTTAAATGTAGAAATAAAAAATAAAAAAATAAAAAAAATAAAGTTTGGCATTTACATATGGGTCGTATTATTATTTTTTTTTAACCCTTGTTCTTCATCTTGGAATTGGCGCTATAAAGGATAAAGTGCCGTGTCTTTCTCGGCCTTTGTGCTTGTATCTCGAGAAATTGTCACTAAAGCTCAAAATTTCCCCGTGCAGGTCATTTAAACCGGCACAATAAAGAACATACAGTTTGTGTTGGTTTTGTTCTTTTCTCTGTCTCTCTCTTGATGAAGCGTTGACGACTTTATCGCCTGATGCTACTAAGAGAGAGAGAGAGAGAGAGAGAGAATGAGAGAGAGAGAGAGATAGCGCTATACTCACAGTTATTGTTGTTTTTGTGTTATTCATGAATGAGGTCCTTTTTTATGATGGTACTGTACTTACAATCATGAGAAACCAAAGCTGCCACAGCTTGCTCGCACCTTGAAAACCAATCCCTCTGACTTATATCAGTTTAACTTCTGAGGATGAAATTCAAGCGGTTGCAGAACAAGCTGAGGTTTGTAGTGATTAGGCTATTCAAATGGAGTGATAATAGTAAATATACAAATTTCATATTTTTGGTTTCTCGTCATGTCCGCTTTGAGCGTGCGCTAATGAAGCGAGGTGCGGTGTGTGTGTGTAGGTAAGGGGGAGGTACAGAAGTACACATCACTGTGGACTGGTGTGGCCAGACTGCGGTGACTGTACTCCCCACCCACACGCCCACTCACACACACATAGGCCCCTGAAACCCAAGCTTTATCCACGGTGGAAAAGGCTCCGGGTCTGTGGATTAGAAGTTACGCGCAGATAACATCGGCCCACATTAGATACGTGAAATGGAGCTCCTCGCGCGGATGAGGCGGGTCGCGAGACATCAAACAGCCGCAATGGGCGCTTTTGAAAGTGCGAGAGCATTGTAAATTTGTGAACTGTAATTCTGCCACAGTCAGTGTAATAGGGGAATAAACAATGTAACGGCAGGGCAAGGCGAAGGGACTTTGGGCTCGTGCACGCAGGTAGACCGTAGAGAATATGTGACAGTGACAGTTACACAGTTTCACGTCCACAGAAATGAATCAGACAATAAGACATTTTCTCTGACCATCACCCTAATTTTTCCAGAGATCGGTAAAAACAAATCCCCAAAGATCCGAGAAGTTGATCAATGAGAAACAGCATCTCTTTCTCTCCTCAAGTGTTGGTTTGTAGGGGCCCTCCACCGCGCGCCGCTCCCTCCCTCCCTCTAATGAAGTCCCCAGAAGCGCACTGTAAAGTTGCCTTTGTAATTATTAGTCATTAATTGGGTTCAGGACCTTGTGCGTCTCTGGGAAATGGGAAATCTGACCGCTAATCCAGGACGTTTCTTTGGGGCCTTCAGCAGCGTTGTTAACATGCTGTCAGAGACAGACGGGCTCAGCGCCACAGCTACTGATAGCACGAATATGAAGGTTAGAGGGCAGCGACTGTACACACACGCTGACTTACTCACACTCTGCAAGAGGCATGTGCTGGAGAGGGGAGTTTTTCAACTGGAGACACATCTGAAGAGCCAAAATAAAGATTAACCTACATATAAAAGCTGTCAGTGTAAGTATAGGGGCGTTTGTTTTGGAGTGTGTTCGAGGTCTTGTAGATTATATACAACTGTGTAAAAGGTAAGCATGGATCTTTTGATCAGATGACAGGTTTTACAAAATAATTGTCATGATATAAGTTATTCAAATAAATATTTATGTATCTGGACTACACGATGTTAGCCTATCTTTTGCAGTTTATCTCCACAATGATTGAATTATTTGTGTCAGTAATACCGGAAACGCGCATTTAGCTGTGAGTGTGTTAAAACACTTCCGATTCAGCCTGTCATATCAAACAAATTAGAAAAGTCTTCTTTCCTTTTTTTCCCCGAGTCCAGAATTCTCATATTATATTTGATGATTCTGCCTGATTTACCCTTTAAAAGCGCCGGTAAAAACTCAGAAAACCAAGAATGGGCGCAGAGAAAATCATCAATGTTTCGAGAGCATTTAAATCACAGACGCCAAAGAAAAAATGTTTTAAGTTAGACATTATGTAGTTGATATTTGAAAATCGCAATGTCAAAATATTTTTTTATAAATACTGAGGAAATCTACCTACGATTCTTTGAAAATGTATACGGTTTATGAACAAGATGAAATAAAGAAAAACAAAGAATCTGAACCTCCTCCCCAGCCTCATCATCCTCGTCAACATCATTATCACCATCCTCGTAGTCGTCATCATCCTCGTAGTCATCATTATCATCATCATCATCATCATCATCAGTGTTGTTATTTTTTAATTAATCGCTCGTTAATGTCGCCATCCATTCCCCCGCTGATCAGAGGAGCGAGGAGCCGACAACCCGCCAAACAAACGCACATTAAAATATCGCCTGCAGGCCTGAGTGAAAATTACCTCGACGTAGAAATGACCTTAATATGATGTAATCAATCACGCTGCCTGCTGGGACACGGAGAATCAAAATGTTAATCTTTTGGTTTGCAGCGGCGGGGGAAAATGGCCTGTCATATATTACACCTCAGCCAAAGAGCAGACAGTGAAGTAAGGCACAAACGGAGAAAGTCTACAGCAACAATATGAGCTTTATAGTGCAGGGGAAATATACTCCATATGGACATGATGTATTTACATTCTGAGGTGGGCTGGAGGCCCAGAGGCCTTCAGGCCTGTGAGCCTTACTTTCTACTTTTTATTACCTTAGCGATGCACAATAGTTTTGAACCAGTCAGAATAATAAAACAAACGTTGTATTTGGCCACTCTGACTGTTTTCTATCACAACATTAATGGTCTGCAGTGAAATCATGAAGATGATTCTACGGTTGAAAAAAGAATATCATAAAATCAACGAGGAATTAAAATATATTCTGGAATAAAAACAATGTTTTTAAAAGGTTTGCCAAAATGTGTGATATTTCTCTTTAAATATAGTATATATTTATAAATAACTCAAACTATAATTCATTCATTTGTTTAATTTTGGAAACAAAAATACATGTGAATTCATTCCACTTTTGAATTTAATATTTTTTCAATGAAAGGCCTAATTTCATGGACACAAGCCAAGGGCACAAGTCTTCACAGGTCTTCTGGTTAATGGTCTGATATCTTAGTTTCAAAATAAAATAAAATCTCATCACATGTGGGCTCAAGGAAATCTGTTATTATCATCAAATCAAAAATAACAGCTGCTGTCAGCAACATCTCTTGCTAAACTTGCTGAGCACTTTCAAGCAGAAGCTCATAGTTCTACCAAAGACAGGTTTGGAAGTATTAGCACCAAGAGCATACATACAACTTGGCGGGCAACAAGAGGCTCATGAAGTGCTGAGGCTGGTGCATGTTATCATTAACAACTGTGGACAGATAGAACCAAGCCCACAAGTGTCCATTTCACACTCGCCTGGCATGGTGGTGGGTAGGACTCCAGCCAGCGACCTGACAGCCTTCAGCAGCTCTTTGAAGCACACAAGCTTCTGGGATTTCTGGTTCACATCTTTGAAACACACCTCCTTGAAGGTTTTCAACCTGAGATGTGTGTTCTCACCTAAAGGGGAAAAAAAAAAAACTGATCAGGGAGTTAGTTCCTTTTACTTGAATTTTAATCAGGGCCTTTGCAGCGGTCGCCCCTAGACTCTGGAACAGTCTCCCCGGCCACATTAGACCCTCACAGACCCTAGAGATTTTGAAATCGTCCCTAAAGACCCACCTTTTCTCCATGTGTTTAATAAATGAGCACACACAAATCTTAGGCACTGTAGCTTTTATTCTGTTACTCTCTGTATTTTATTCCATTAAAAAAATATGTTTTATTGTCATCTATTTATTTACTTCTTTTATTTATATTGTGTACAGCACTTGGATTGGCTGCTGTCTTCTTGAAGGTGCTTTATAAATAAACGTTGACTTGTCATTCTTGCACAGCTGCTGGGCTTTCAAAAGTAGAAAGAGAAATGTGGGGTAAAACTGTATAAAGAAAGTAAATGTATCTGTAACTGTACGGATGCTAAGATGTGTGCAACAGATTTAAAGGCAGAGTCAGATTTATCCATTATAATGATGGGGCAGATTTACATCTAAGTGTTAATAACTGATAGAAATGTCAACATGTTCTTATGGATCTGTGCTAAAATAAAAAAAAAAAACAGTCACCTTAGCAAAAGAAGCTAAGTGCAAAATGTTTTTCTCTAAAATAAATTGAATGGCTGAAACTGTTCACTGCTTGAAATTCAACAAATTATTTGAGAAAATAAAAATACGAAGAGAGTCGTTCTCCTCCCAGCAGTCCTGGCTCCCACAGATTCCATATGAGCGAGTGAAACAGCCCTAATGTATTATACAACTGTATGTGGGGAGTGACGTCACTGCAGCCAGCTACAGAGGGGCCCCTACAATACAACAAAACACACACACACACACACACACACACACACACACACACACACACACACACACACACACACACACACACACATTGTGGTAAAAAAAAAAAAAACTGGGGGGGGGGGGCAGTTTTGTAGCATTTACTCCGCCCAGGCCCAAAGAAAATTTAATGCTGCATCACGCGCAGCATGGACTCACTGGACATGTTTCTGAACAATATCATCTGCAGTTTGTTTAAAATGTCATTGGAAAAAAAAAAGTTTAAATCAAAGATTCCTTGTTAGGATCGCTCAAACTGGTAAAGTCGGAGTAGATCTACTTACCAGTCATATGTTTCTACTGTCAATAATAAACACAGACCTACAGTCCAAGAGGGATCTCATCAAATCACGAAAACCACTGGAACTCCATCTGATACACATCCACACAAAAGCACACACTTAACCCAATCTAGACTCTGTACTGCTGTGTAGTTTACACAGAGGCAACATTTTCAAGTTAGCCTCTTCTCCCCACAGGAATAGAGGACTTCCACACACAAAGAAAAGCCAACTTAGGCCAAGCAGCAAACTTATACAATAATGAGGCTGACATCACAAAGGAAACAACCCGTAAAACACCAAACGCTCTACAGCCCAACAAAGCCCAATAAAGGTCTCAACGACTGAAGCACAAACACTGTAGAGGAGCAAACAAACCCGGGAGCTCTCCTGCACCGTTTCCATAGAGATTAGTTTCCCATTCTCGCTTTGTGCCCTATAGCTGTGCACTGACCAGCTTTGTTATTCATTTGTTTGTTGGGTTGCAGTGTATATGTGTGGCAGTGGTGGTGCGTCTGTGGCGACAAAGCATACGTGTGTGTGTTGCTGGACTGACAGAATGATTAATACGAGCTCCAACCAGGAGAAGGAGAAGGGGGGGAATGATGGAGTTTGTATGTGGGGTTGGAGGTGGGGGCTGGGTTGAGTTTTAGCAACACATCCAAAACAACAGCATTTCTCTGTTTCCTACTGCTTCCTCTGCAGGACCACAACACTCTCTGAACTCTCCTCCACCACAGCACACTACCCCGAGATGAAGAAAAGAGTTCATAAAGACGGACACGTCTACACAAACAGGGGGCATGGGAGAAGTGAATCAGATTGTGGATTACAGTCTAGAGAGGGGTAGGGGGAGGAAACATGCAGTGGGATTTCATGGTTCATCTGAGTGCCTGGTTGTTTGCAGGCAGTGAGCGGCTATTGCTGAAATGGCAAATAGCTTCATGTAAAATCTGGATAAATATTGACTCTGGACATAATTCGCTTATGACAGGTATAGCCAAAAAATGGTGGCAGAGGGATGACAGAGACGGGCGAAGTAGAGGTGCTGAAAGAAGGAAAGCAGGGAAGACACAAAACTGTTTTTGTACATTAGCTAAAGTAAGGAAATCACAGCAAAAGGAGCTCCTTCACAAAGAGCTTACAAATCAAGCGCCGTGTGAAGGAGCTCATCTTCACTAAAGGGATCAAACCATGACAGAGTTTTTATGGGTGATATCAGTTTTAAAGAATTAAGTCATTGATCTTATGTTTTGACTGATTACCTTTAAAGCTTTCAATGGCTTTACCCTAAATACATCAAATAATTTTAATCCCTCTTGCCTCTGCATTCTCTTACATCAGTAGATGCAGCATTGCAGGTTGTTCACAGCTCCTGGCTTTGAACCAAAGGTGACCAGGCCTTAAGTTGTGTGGACACCCCCAGAATTCTTGGTGGATCACTAAAAGATAAACTTTATTTTATGAATACTTCAATTAATTTTTGTTTTTGATTGTCTTTTTTTACTTCCATATTTACCTGTGTTCCTTTTATTGTTCTGCCTTTTTGAGAAGCTATATCCTTTTTTTGAAAGAGTTAAGTTTATGAACATTATCATATCCCACTGGAGTGCTCAAAGTTATACAAAAGTCTGGACAGGAGAGTCAAATACAACTAAACAACAATCTCCTCCATACATGTAAAGAGAGGCTAAGAAAGACTGCCCTCCTGTGTCAGACCCACAACTACATGTTGCACAATAATCTTACAAGCATCTTTCCCTTTATTGACTTTGACCTCCTTTATGGGGCCAATTACAGCGCGGAGTATACTGTACAAAACCTGTGTGTCTACATTAAAAGCACTCTGAAAAGCGGACTTTCTGTTTCATGCACAGTAAATGTGTTTATATAATGCCTGCAAGTGTGTCATGAAATAAATGGTTTCACCTATATTAAACAAATGATGTTTTACATTTTCATTTGTTTGTGTGTGCATTTCTTGCTGCAACCAATCATGAAAGAGAGACAGAGAGAGAGAGCAAAAGAGAGAGAGTGAGAAAGACTGGATTTGAACGGGTTGTCATCCTCCTCTCCTGCTCTTTTCCGAAGGGAGCCGGCTGCCAATTCCCTGAGCGTGCTTAACAATTCCATTACCGCCGTGCAGAACACCCACACTTCTCTTTTGAAGCCAGAGCACTTTAGAGGAGAAGAGTTTATTGACTTTAAATTGTTACCACTTGGGCCTTCTCCTCTCATTTCTGAAGACAAATAAATAAATAAACCTGTATGTCCGACAGCAGTGTGTATCTCTGAGGTGACTAGGAGGTGATGTTTGTTCAGATGAGGTAGCAGAGGAGCAGCAGTGTGACATTTACACAGTTGCACACCAGCATGCATGCGTTTGCCCGCACACTAATGTTGATTGCTCATCATGGAGAGGATTTTATCTGCCAGTGTGGTTTCTGTCAACATCCAATGGCTTGTTTTACAGTGGAGCTCATCTGTGGACCAAATGTGTCAAAGCAGCAGAGGAAAGATTCGCTTCTTTGGGTTTTGCTAATAAAGTGTGACATACGATTAGATTCACAATCCACCCTGTCCTCGCTTGCCATTTTCATAAACTCATATATGTCACACGGCGACATTTGCCATCTGGTAATACTGGACAACTTGCCACTCTATTCTGGGGATTTCTTTCCCCACTGACACGTCATACACATACTGAAAATACTGTTTTGTTGTGACCCATGCAGTGTAACCTTTAAAGTTGTCACTTGGAACAAGGCTACTGTGAGACACTTATAGCCTGTCAGCTGCTGTGATTGCAGAGAGTGGAAGACTGAGCTTACAGGCACCTGTAGGCTTGGGGTCATGGTAGCACCGCTCAACTTTCCCAATCTTGAGGTATGGTCTGTGTGTGTATGTGTGTTTGTTTCTGTTCCTGAAACTAAAGAATAAGGAAGTATCTACATGTGAGTAAATAAAAATCAGAACCAAATCCCCCGGATCCCTCAACAATAACACGGTTTCTCTTTAAAATGAAACAGCCAGTGTAAGCATCTGGATTCTATTGGTGTATGAGGTTCTACTTAAATAAAGGTTATTACAAAGTAAAACTCAGTTCAATCATTTTATTATGTGCTCCTCTTTGTTCACACCATCAGTCACCACATCAGTGGATTTCAATGAGGGATTTACAATAACTTCTTGTTCACATTGTCCTCATGTGTGATGTCATCCGACAGTTCAGCTTCAGTCTACTTTCCACAGCCAGCGAGGGGGATATGAAGTGACCATGGTTAACACCAGCTGACGTCTCAGTGGTGCCTCGATAGAAATAGATTTCTAGTTTTTGGTGGTCCGCCGTGAACAACATTAGGATTGTTCAAATTTGGCTGATATTTAATGTTCTGTTATTTCACAGGTAGACGAAACACCAGATATTAGTGAGGTTTTCTTTTTCCAATCAAATAAACAAACTGCACTGACAGCCAGAGCCACACTGTAGAAATATCATTTCAAAAACTGTTATGCTATTTGCCACTGGGAGTCAGACTTTGCCAGTGTTCCTGGGATGGGAATGCTGTTTACAGAAAGTTCTCAGTTCATTTTGGAAAGTATGCTGAGCTGAGTTCAATCATTCAACATCGCTAATACAGAGAGTGTAATTATGCAGACATATTTGTTCCCAGGTTTGAGATCCTTAAATGACAAACACCAAACCAAATGAAAACATACCATCAAAGAGAGAAAAAAAAAAGCCTTGTTCCATTCTGAACATATGTGAAGGTATTTGAGTGCACATGACCACTACCCACACACACCGCAAGAGATCCAGTTTGAGCAGGGGCACCCGTCTATCACAAATACTGTGGTGCTTTTAGCCAAGAAGACTGATCTGTTTCCTCACATTCACAATCGACTGCTGTCTGCTCCCAGCAGCTCAGTGCAGCCAGGACCCTGCATCAGAGACCCTCATCTACAATATACAAACTGAAAAGGTGCAATCAGAGAAAAAGGGGGAAATCACACTTGTCTGTGTTCTAGTTATATCCTGAACATTAGATCAACACAGAAGTAATGGTGGGAGGAAAAGGAAGGAAAAGCAGCATAGGAAAAAATGTTAGTGCGTATTTGTCTGAATGGTGGTGATGGTGTTGATGGTGGGGGGATGGGGGGCTGTCTCTGGCACTAGGTGAGCTTATCCAGAGGTTCTGTTCTGCCTCACCAGAAGAAGAAGAGAGAGGTCTGATAGGAACAGAGTGTGCCACACATTTTCACAGAGACACACACAAACCAGGACTGTGTCAGACCTTACCTACCGCTGAGTGTGTGAGCACCCCAGGTCCAAAATCAGAGCTCCAATAACAAACTGAACCCGCACTTCTGATTGGTTGTGACAAATGCTCTCTGCTCACTGGACCCAAGTTATGTCTACCACAAGGAGGCTGACTCCCTGTAACATGTGTATCATGTGAGTTATAGGTGTACATAATGTGTGAATTAACGTATGTTGTGGATATTTAAAAGGTTTATGTTCTGTTTGTTTGTATAGCATCTGAATGAACCACAAGACTCACAAAAATAAATACAAAAAATGCATTTGAGTCAGCAAATGTCTTCTGCTGTTTCTTTCTAAGCTAGAAAGTATTTTCCTTTTTACCAGAGTGTGGGTGATGAAGTGGGCTTGTCTCTTTTTTGTCCACCACCTTTTTTAGCGAGAAGGCCAGTGGGTGCCAAACAGTGAAGCTTGTCTGATCATTACTTGAGTGCCAAAGCGGCAGGAGAGGAAAAGGCAGCAGAAAGCCAGTCATTAAAATTCCTACCACCTTGTTGACTGCATCTCACCAACCAGCTTTCATTTCCCTCTCAAGACTTGGATGTGACTAAAGGAAGGTGAGGGAGTGCAGCTTGAGTAAGGGCAAGAGAGACAAACCTGAAATTGGATGTGGAAAGGATGTCCTGGAAAACAGCTTGTAACACTAAAATGAGTGCTGACCTGAGTTTGTTGGAGATTGTGAGTCAGAGGATGGAGAGGCCTACTCAGGAGATCAATTCTTGGAAACAACACGTGGGGTGTTAAATAGAAAAAAAATAGAATAGAAAACAAGTGTGAGAGAGCTGCATAATAAGACTTACAGGAGAAAGTTACATGTGGATTTCTCTGAAGAAACAACCAGACAGGAAAGAAGCGATTTTCTTATCTAACTTGAACCTCTAAGTCCCTGTCGCAAATGTACAGTAGAGGATAGGTGAGGACAGAAAAAGGCAAAAAGAACCTCACCGAGAGATGTCATCTCTGTGCCGTTTCCCCCTTTTCCTGGTTCAACCTTGAAGTAGGGCCACACAGAGAGCTGAGGGTAGATATTCGGTGTCTATTAACACAGTGGTTGGTGCAGAGACGGATTTGAGCAATGGACCTTGGAGGCCTCTTGGGGGTCTTTGGTATAGGTGACAGTGTGTAGGCCAGTAGTTTCAGAGGAGAGACGGAACAGATTAAAACCTCATGGTTCAGTTGAAAGTTTACAGAGGTACTGTTAAAATTCAGTACTTTTTTGTAGTTGATTTAACTTAATTTACATGTATTCTTCAGCCCCTGAAAATCTTGAAACAATGTTCGTATTTTTGAAGAGAATTCAGATTTTCAGGCTTGTGGCTCTTCACCAAAACATTACCATATGCATGCTAGTAAGACACTTTACATCTCCAAAAGAAATATTGTAAACACTTACGGTTTGGTAAAAGTCTCTTCCCCTTTAACTTCAGTTGTATGATGTTGTAGCAGGATATTCTCAATCTTTATTTTAAGCAAGATTCAGGGGAACAGCTTTTTTCTGCGATCAGTCATTCAGTAAAACACTTACCGTCAGGAGTATAGCACACAGTTTTACATCTTTAATGTCATGTAAAAGGTGAGCTGCTATCCAACACAAGCGCAACCAATAGTCCAGTATAAAATATAGAGAGAGGTACTGAATAATGTTATTTGCTCCAAGAAGTGATCAGTTGCTTCAATGCATAGAGCATGATAGATACATTACAAGGCAGACAAGGCAGACAGCTTTTACCCCTCATTAAGCCATAATAATGCTCCAAAAGAACTTGGTATACTGTTAAATGAATCAATTTTGTGGAGTGTTGGTTTAATTGAAAGATTTCATAACTCAAATAAAAACAGAGGTGGTGCAAATCTTGGTAAATAGGTCAGGGTGATGGGTCTGTACCTCACAACTTTAATGCTACTGTAGGCTGAGCTCATCAAAAAAATTGGTAGCTGATAGCAATAACAGACAACACAGGAAAGAGTCAAATGTCTGCACAGAAACTGCCCATTGTTGAAGGCAATGACCAAGAACACAGTTCATATCCTGTACTTTATAAAAACAGACTGAAACTTTTTCAGAGTTTTGGGTATTTTTTGCAGATAGAGGTGCAAAGTCTGTCACGTTTGATTTTATTTCACAAAATACCTTTACACTTTTGCACAAATAAAACACAAAAATGTAAATGCAGGCAGCAGTGCAACCATATATGCGTTGACTTTGCTTTATTGTGTACAGCATCTGCCAACACAGAACACTGTCACCTCACAGTGAGAGGAGTCCTGGTTCAATTCCTGGTGGGTTTTTTTTTCTGTGGAGTGGATTTTGCATGCTGTCCTTTTGCACCTGTGTGTTCCTTACTCCTGTTTCTCCCAGACTTGCTCATTACTCTTAAATGGCCATAGGTACAAGTTTTAGTGTCTGGACATTTGTACATATGTTGGCCTTATGATGGACTAGCAACCTGTCCAGGGTGCTGCCCACCTCTCACGAAATGAAAGCTAAAAAGGGCTCCAGCCCCTCACCCCCACCCCCTCTGACCCTTGAATGGG